ACGCGGGGTTCGACCCTGGCGTTTTGATGTTGTAACGCGGGTTTCGACCCTGGCGTTTTTGATGTTGTGACGCGGGTTTCGACCTTGGCGTTTTAACATTGTAACGCGGGTTCGACCCTGGCGTTTTGACATTATAACGCGGGTTCGACCCTGGCGTTTTACTATTGATACACGGGGAGGACCTCCGCGTCTTGCCTTTGTCATTGCGTTGCAAAGATCATTGTCTTGTAATCTTCGTCTTGGCTCCTTGAGAATATGAGAGTCGTCAGATTGTAACTCCCGATATTGATTGTGAAGGCCGTTGATTAGAGCTTTCATCAGTTGTCGTGAAGGTCGTCAGATTGTAACCTTCAGCGATCTATGTGAAAGTCTTCAAATTGTAGTCTTCTGGAAGTCGTCAGATTGTAACTTCCATCATCGGTGTTTGATGGGGGATAAGCTATCTATTGTGATTTTTAGACAGCCTACAGCAGTCTTGGTTGTTTCTTAGCTATGTCTTTCTTCTGCATCTTTTGTGCTTTTTGCACAAGAATTCGTGTGCAGGCAAGCGCGCAGCGCTTTTGAATTCGCTCCTCCAGAGTTGAACGGATCCTTTTGATTTGGATCCATTCATTTGCTATTGGTTTGGAGGGGAGGACATCTGTCCGCTGTTGGGGTGCTTGGCGTTGCCTAATTTTCAGATCCGCCTCGTAACGGATCCCGTCAATTGACTCCAAGGCTCTAGCGAGTTGGCGCTGTCTTTGACGAGTTCTCTTCGATAAAATATGCGCGCCTTCTGTACTCAACTCCTTGATTAAGGAGGAGTTCAGATCTGCAGATCCGGACTCATTGGAGGCCGGAAGGGCGTTGCAAGGTTCAGCTACCGCAACAATGGGGGCGTTGATCTTCCTTCGCTTGCGAGAGGCGGAGGATCTGGAGGAGGAGGACGACAGATATTCCTCGAACTTCAGTTGGTCGAACTCGTATTCGACCACTTCTTCAACCGGGATGCAGATCTGAGGTTGCGACACGACAGCTCCGACAGCGAAGCTGTTGGCTCCCACTGTGGTCGCCAGTTTGTTTGCGTCGAAAATTGATGTATTCATTGCGGTATTCATTACAACTTCAATCGTTACAATGAAAACAAAAAAAAGATTGTCTTTTTATAAGACTTTTACACAATGAAAACAAAAGTTTACAACTCTCGTCAAAACAAACGCAGAGGACGTTTATCACCCGCTGCTTTGCGTGGGATCTTTGCATGTGCCGGGGTTTATCCGTGGACCGCCTTAGATCTGGATCCGCTTGATAAAAAATTCGGCAGAGCTTCGTCTTCACCGAGGAAGTATTTGATTTGAAGCGCAGAGATCGACCAAGCGAAATCAGGGCTCTTCTCGAGATTAAGACCAAGCCTAATCTCAAGGGACGGACAGACGGGGTTCAGATCCTTCGAATAGCTCCTTCTTTATGTCAAAGTTCGTCAGGATTTGATTTGCCTTCACTGAAATTCGTGCTCCTTGACTCCTCAATCCAGCAGCACCTCCACGTCTTGATAAATATTTGTCCCCTGAAAATGGAGGCCTTTGGCTCATATTTATAGGCCTCAGATGCAGTTATTTGGATGAGAACAAGTGATTTGGCTCTATCTTCAGTTAACAACAGCCTAACCACGTTTGGGGATGATATTAAGTCAGTTCGTTTTAGGTTCCGGACTGCGCGGCGCGGGTCGGATCAGTCCGACCTGCGCTTCCGCGGGTCGGACCAATCCAACCCGCGCTTGCGTGGGTCGGACCAATCCGACCCGCACAATCGCGGGTCGGACCAATCCGACCCGCGCTTGTGCGGGTCGGACCAATCCGACCTGCACAATTGCGGGTCGGATTGACCCGACCCGCACAATTGCGGGTCGGATTGAACCGACCCGCGCTTGTGCGGGTCGGACTGATCCGACCTGCGCTTGCGCGGGTCGGTTCGTTCCGTCCTGCGCTCACGCAGTTTTGCCGACTTTTCCTTTTTTCTGTTCTCTTTCTTCCGAGACTTGTTCTTTTCGCGTGTTTGGCCGATTTGTTGACTTGTATGCTTCGCCGCGAGACCGACTGTCGAACGCGCGTTGGTTAATATACGCGTGTTGATCGATGCACGCGGACTGATCGGCGTGCGCGTGTTGACTGACGCGTACGAGCTGACCGACGCACACGAGATGATTTGACTTGCGCTGACTGATTGGCGAATTTTCTTGACTCGCCCGTTCATTGCTTCGAGTTTCGTGCGGGCTCTCATAAACAATTTAAGACGTCTACAAAATTGTATATAATTTTAGCAGGAAAAAGGAAAAAAAAATCTATGTTAAAATATCTCCTTGGCACCAGAAGACCATGACAAAAATCTGCATAAAAAGTTACCACGGTGACTTGGCAATTAGTAGCTTCAAATTTTGATTTATTGATTTTGTATTAAACACTAAGCTATTATTTCTTTCTAGATATCTCTTTTTTCTTGCTAAAAAGTTGGCTTATTTTTTTTCAACCGTTTTATCTAAGGGCATGTTTGGTTGATAGGAAGTATTAGAAGTAAGAAGTAAATCAAATCTATTACTTCTGAAATTATGAATTAGGAAGTTGCGAAAGTACTTCTTTTTTTGTTTGTTTCGTAAACTTTTGAAAGTAGAGGAAATAATGTTTGTTCCACTTCATTAACTTTTTTCGTTTAGTAGCAATAATAAATAGGGGGAAATGCTTCTAGCCCCCAAAACCAAAGACAACATGCTTCCCCCTCCCAAGACTTTTTCAACGGGTGTTTTGCCCCCAAAAGTAAACTTTGTGTTCTCTAAGCCCCCAAAACACAAAACCCAAGATATTAAAATACGTGAATACCATAATACCCTCCATGGCCACCTCCTCCTTCCTCTCCAAACCCAGCGACCGCAACCTCCTCTCCTCCTACTCCTTCCATGGCCTCAAGTTCTCCTCCGCCTTCAAAACCCAATCTTTCTCCTCCCCATCATCGTCATCTCTGTGCCTCCTATGACCTCTCCTCCCTCCGCTTCCACCCCATCAAAGAATCCATCGTCTCCCGTGAGATGACTGTAATGATCATGAACTTTCGATACTAATTAAAATAAATTTTCGATATTTTAAAATATTTAATTATTATTTTTAAAAGAGTATTTGTATTTCTCGATTTTCTAAAATTTTCTACGATTTAAAAGTCTAAGTTTTATATTTATTTAAATAATTTTGATATTTATAAATTAATTTAGTGCAGTAAAAACTTTTAAATTAATTCGTTGTGTTATCGATACTATTACGTATTATTTTGAATAATACGTTGTATTATTTTTACTATTACGTATTATTTTATATAATACGTTGTATTATTATTACGTATTATTTTATACAATTTGTTGTATTATTACTATTATTGTATATTATCTGTTGTATTAGTATAACTGGTACGTTTTATTATATAGGTAATTTTCCTATAATTATTTAATTTTAAATGTAAGTAATTATATTTTTTTATTAATTATTCTCGTTTAATTGTATAATTAGTTATATTATTTCTACTATTGTGTATTATCTGTTGTATTAGTATAATTGGTCCGTTTTATTTTGTAGATAATTTTCTCATAATTATTTGATTTAAAATGTAAGTAATTATATTTTTATTAATTATTTTCAATTATATCTAAACCCTAATCTCTCTCATATATATATATATATATATATATATATA